CTGACACCTATTTTTAACAAATGCTGGCTAGCTTCTTGTAACCATCTTATGTCTTTTCCAAGTGCTTGCAAATCACATTGCCTGATTATATTTTCTAGGATTTTCCCAGGCACTGATGTCAAGCTGACTAATCTATAGTTACCCAGGTCCATGAGCCTTAGGTAAAGAAGAGAGTTCTCAAGGCAAGATTTGAGTTTTTAAGTAAGTTCTATGCTTGTTGAGATACACTTATACCATACAATGGAAGTACGGTATTGCATTGTCATCAGTCTAGCAAAACATGTTTTTTGAAACCATAGATTTATCTCAGTTGGGCATCTCAAGGACCTGCATGATTTTGGAATAAATATTTGTGGCAGCCAAGGTAGATAAAAAGCGATGATTTTAAAAAAATAAATTAAAAAAAATCGGATTTTTAAAATTTAAATTGGATTTAAAAATTTTTTTTATCAAGTTTATTTTAATAAAATGCTTTTGGAGTAAAAATCTATCTAAAGATAGTCTTCTATTTAAGATACATTAATAATTTAGAATGAAATGGAGCTTAGTTATGTAGCATGAGGCTGTATATTCTGCTATATTGGGACTCGTTGAATCAACAGCGAGTCAGAGGAGCCACTGCGGGACAGAGATGACAGTTGCTCTTTAGAAATTATCATTTAAATCGAGGATTTAAATCAAGCCTTTTTACTAGTGATTTAAATCATTATTTAAATCATTATTTAAATCGACTTAATCTGAATCAAATCCACCCTGGTGGCAGCAAATACTTATTCAGAGCAATGAATGATGATCTACTTGTGAAGAAAGAAAAAGAAACAAGCTGTGTCATCTTGATACAGTGCAGCTGGCTAAGTATTTGAACTCCTTTTTGGAAGAGAACCTCTTAATTAACTTTTGGAAGCTTAAATGAGGAAGATTCCAAAGGAAGGACGGCTGTTCCATGAAACTGAGGCTTAACAAAGAAGCAGCTTCAGTCCCCTGTATTTTATAAAGGTGGGAACCAGTTAGAACTGGTTCCCACCAGAATCTCACAATGGATGGGTTGATTTCAACTGGAAAAGGTGGTCCAAGGAAAGAAGAGTGCTAGGGTGGCACTGGAAGAGCGCTGGGGTAGCAGAGGACTTCCCCTTCCCCTGGCCTGGTTCCTCAGCCTCAACTTTGCTCCTGAAAGCCTGCTGGCCACTTGTCTGGTTGAGCTCTGTCAGAGCTTGTTCTGGGAGAGACCCTTGGAGAGCTGAAGGGATGCTGAGGGCAAGGGGCGAGAAGCTGATCTTTGACTTCTCTCCCAAAAGCGCTCCTTGGGTGCAGCCATTTCTGCAGCAGGATACGCGCCCCAGGCACCTCGTGCTGGCCTTCCAAAGGGTGTAGCAGCAGCTATCCACAATTTTTTTACTGTTATTTTGTCACGACCCATGTAGCCCAGTATGGTGTTAAAAGTTAACATTTCTGAAATGTTAACACTGTACTGGGCCACATGGGACGGGACAAAATAACAGTAAAAAAAATTGTGGATAGCTGCTGCTACAGTAGCCTTCGGAAGGCCGGTGCATAGGGTGCATCGCTTGGCCTCCTGCTTTTGTGGCTACAATCGATGGCAAAAGTGGCCGTGCTTGCTGGAGGCAGCGGCCAGAGCGGCACCCACAAGGCAGCTGTTCTGTGGGCGGAATTGCCTGCTGTGACTCACTGTTGGGTGAGGAAGGCAATTGGCTTCAAAAGCGGCCACGCTTACTAGAGGCAGTGGCCAGAGCAGCTCAGCTGATGTGTGGGCCCTAATTAAGGGGCCGAGCAGCCCTGAGGGGACCAGGGAAGGGAAGGGCTGCCTCCTGTGCTGGCCATGGCCACCCACTTCAATAGGGCTTATTTTTGGGGTAGGGATTATATTAAGAATACCCCCAAAAATCAGGCTAGGCCTTACTTTTTGAATAGGTCATATTTTCAGGGAAACACAGTAACAACAACCCCAAATACCCCCCATTCCACCCAATAGTACTAACTGAAGATCAGCACTGTAGGGAGTTTCTCACACACAGCTCCTCCAGTCCTTCCTGTGCTTCCATATCCCTTCTGCCACGCCACCACAGTGTGATCCCCACTGCTCCCCCATCTACAAGCATCTTGTCCTGAGGGCTCCAGGGTATAATAGCTACTCTGGTCCTTCCACCTAGAGAGCTTCCCAAAATATCATGTACCATATGTAGGATTTCATATGCTATGTCCTCTGGTCAGATACAGATGCTTGAAAAAGGAAGTAGAAATTCCTAGTCAGAGTTATAACTAGTGAATGCAAATTGTTTCTCTCTGAAAGGCTTTCTTCCCATGTTTCTCACATCTCAACTGTGTGGTCTAAGATAAGTCAGTATCATCCTTCATCTTTTTTTCTTAGCCTCTCACATGAGGGCAAATGTTTTCCAGTCACTTTATTAGAATATATCCTATAGATATGCACAGACACATGTGGGAGATACAGGAAGAGAAGCCAAAAGAGGGGAAAATTCCTCTTTTTCCAAGAAACCTCTGGGATGAGAAGCAAAACATTTTCAAGGAAAAACCAAGAAAGTCCAGCTGCCTTTTGGAAAAGCACCTTTGGGACATCCATGACCCGGATGATTGAGAATCTCTGCAGACATTTTCATCTCATGCCCAGATTGAAAGGGAGTTGGAAAAGAACTCCATGGAAACCTCTCAACTGCTCCAATGTCATTGCCTTCCATCTTTACCACACTTGAGTCTTGATGTCTGTGTTGATCGTTGCCACAAGCTTTCATATTTTGTTTGGTCTCAAGCCTGGCAGTTCCTTTCTCAAGAAACTAAAGACTTCTTTTTATTAGCATCAGGCATGCAATTATGATAGCCGAAAGATTATCTGTCTTCTCTAGCTCCCTTATTGTCTCCTTTGTTCCCCATGTTTTCCAGGTCTCATCAGACGACATATTTTTAGGAAAGAGACCTGGAGCATTCCCATTCTGTTGGATGGGACAGGCTGAAACGTCTATAACCCTTGCCCTATATCATGTAGGGCAGGGGTGTCAAACTCAAGGCTTGCGGGCTGGGTCCGACCTTCGGGGTGGTTAAATCCAGCCCGCATGGCTGGCCTGGAAATATCAAAGGACCAGTCCGTGGGGCCTCTGGTGGCTAAAACGGGTTGCATGCCTCATTGCGTGCCTCATTTTCACTCTCCATGGATTCCTGTAGGATTCTGCCAGCCGAAACTGGCCCAAAAATGGCCCTGAAAACAGCTCGAAAACGGGCCTGAAAACAACCAGCAGAGTGCTGCAGGAGGCCATGGAAGGTGAAAACGAGGCACGGGGAGGGGGGGCGCGGAAGCGCCTCGTTTTGGCCGGCAGGGTGCTGCAGGAGGCATCCGTCCTGCCTCCCCCACTCCCCCCCTCTGCCAACTCACAGAGAACTAGATTATTAGATTATTAGATTATTGCAACGTGCTCTACATGGGGCTACCCTTGAAAAGTGTTCGGAGACTACAGTTGGTCCAGAACGTAGCCGCGCAAGCTGTCGTGGGTGCACCTAGGTACACCCACATTACACCAGTTCTCCGTGAGCTGCACTGGCAAGCGGCAGTGGCTCCCTATTGATCTCCGGTCACAATTCAAGGTGTTGGTTATTACCTTTAACGCCCTATATGGCTCAGGGCCAGGGTATCTTCGAGACCGCCTTCTACCGCATAACTCCCAACGACCGGTAAGATCCCACAGAGTTGGTCTCCTCCGGGTCCCATCAGCTAAACAATGCTGGCTGGCGGGCCCGCGGGGGAGGGCCTTCTCTGTGGCTGCCCCAGCTCTCTGGAATCAGTTACGTCCTGAGGTCCGGACCACCCCCACCCTATTGGCCTTCCGAAAAGCGGTGAAGACCTGGTTTTTCTGGCAGGCCTGGGGCCGTTGATCTTTCTCTTGCGATCCGCCGAGATCCGGCCATGAATGGTGTCAATGAGTTTTAATGTTTTTAATGTTTTTAATTTTTAAATGTTTTTTATAATGATTTTAAATGCATTGTGAGCTGCTCTGAGTCTTTGGAGAGGGGCGGCATACAAATTGAATGAATAAATAAATAAATAATAACAAACAAACAAACAAACAAACAATGAGCCTTGATAGTACAGTGGTCTACGCACCCTGTTATTAACACAGCTGCCTGCAATTTACTGCTGGTTTGAATCTCTCCAAGGCTCAAGGTTGACTCAGCCTTCCATCCTTTCTAAGGTAGGTGAAATGAGGACCCAGTTTGTGGGGGCAATAAGCTGACTTTGTATTAATATACAAAAGTATGAAGGCTATTGCTTAACGCATTGTAAGCCGCCCTGAGTCTCCGGAGAAGGGCGGCATATAAATCAAATTAAAAAAAAAAAAAAACAATGCTGATCTGGCCCTCAAATCTAGTTTGACATCCCTGGTGTAGGGCTTTATAAGTGAGAATCAGCATCTTTGGACTGATGATGGTACCCAGGAATCAATAAGCACACAAAATAGAAGTGTTACATGAATACACTGAATTGCCCCAATGGCTACTCACATTTGGACCATCTGCAACTGCCCCATCCGTGTTGGGGAAGCTCATCTTGGCTTCTGAGGTGCCCTCAACCTCCTCCTTTTTAGAAAATCTTATGTTAAAGTCTTAGCTGTTCTGCAAAGCATTGCGGTGCAGATGGTTTGTGTTAATTGCTCCTGGTTTAATGGAATTGTTTAATGCTTTTGATATTGATTTAATGGAAATAGGCACTTTACACAACTGTCTAACAAATGACATTCCTGCTGAAACAGTGGTTTGCAGGAGCATCTGTGGAGAGTGTTTTTGGCTCCCTTTTGTGAAGGGGGTGGGTTAGAACTTGAGATGAGAGAATGGAAGCCTACTTTTGGCTAGCATTGCTTTCCTGGCCAGTACAGCCCAGGTGCCAGCCTTGATTTTTGATCTTTTAGCTGTCTGAGAGGTTGGTGCTTCTCAGGTTCCACAACCAACAGTTTCTGAGTCTCCCTTTCCTGCTCCAGATCATGGGTATACCACCCTGGCCACCAGCGTGACTCTCTTAAAAGCTTCTGAAGTTGAAGAAATCCTGGATGGAAATGATGAGAAGTACAAAGCCGTCTCCATCAGCACTGAACCTCCCACCTACCTTAGGTAACCAGCTGATTTATTTTCCTCTTGCTACCTGCAAAAAGGAAGGCCATGTGCATCTTCTGGGTCTGGTAGTGCAACTTTCTTCCTATACCACAAAATCCATATAAAACCTATGGCTGGTGTAAGTGTTGCATGTGAACTCTCACTCAGGAAAGAATAATGTTTTAAAGAATGTGCACTTTTTCCTCTTCATGAGCACCTTTCTCTTCAAGGGAACAGAAGGCCAAAAGAAACAGCCAGTGGGTTCCAACTCTTCCCAATAGCTCCCATCATCTGGATGCTGTGCCTTGCTCAACCACCATTAACAGAAACCGCTTGGGCCGAGACAAGAAGAGAACATTCCCACTCTGGTGAGCATAACAATTTGTTTGGGGCAAATTGGTTGGGAGTGGAGTACTGGACTGTAGTAACCTGAGTGCTCATTTCAGCATGTGGGAACAAATGAGTTTTTACCTGAAAAAGAAGTGTAGTTATGTAGAAAAAGGAGAGATGTTGGTATATAAACCATACGGTTCCAGATTTGTTGGTGTGCAAAGTTTTTGATCAACTAGAGACTAAGCTTTTTCAAATGCAAAAGTCTTTAGCTTTTGAACTCATAATAACATTTAATAGTCAGATTTCATATAAATGATTACGTGTCTTTTAAAGGAAATGGGGGCTCAGTGGCTAAGACGCTGAGCTTGTCGATCGAAAGGTCGGCAGTTCAGCGGTTCGAATCCCTAGTGCCGCGTAACGGGGTGAGCTCCCGTTACTTCTTTCAGCTTCTTCCAACCTAGCAGTTCGAAAGCACGTAAAAAATGCAAGTAGAAAAATAGGGACCACCTTTGGTGGGAAGGTAACAACGTTCCGTGTGCCTTTGGCATTTAGTCATGCTGGCCACATGACTACGGAGACGTCTTTGGACAGCACTGTCTCTTCAGCTTTGAAACGGAGATGAGCATCGGCCTCTAGAGTCGGGAACGACTAGCACATATGTGCAAGGGGAACCTTTATCTTTACCTTCTTAAATTTTCCTGAATTACTGGTATTGCATACAAAAATTGTGAAAGAATTAAGGCTACATGATCTAAAGAGCAGGTGGCAGTGTGATCATGAAGACCTTTGTGCAACTCTTCGGGGCTCTGGTTACCCCATCCATTGACTGAGAACCTGTGCTCACGGTCACACGTGCTTTGATCATCTCCCATTTGGACTATTGCAACACACTTTACATGGGGTTGCCCTTGAAGACCACTTCGAACTTATAGTTGGTCCAGAATGCAGCAACACACTGCAATACACCCCTGTAGCACCCCTTCTTCACCAACTTCACTGACTCCCAGTAGATGTAGGTCCAATTTAAAGTATTGGTAATCAATTATGAACCTCAGCAAGGAATTGGGCTGGTTTATTTGCAGGATTGGCCATATCTAAATCCCAAAGATCTAACTGAATAAACATGGTCCAGGTCCATTCTATGGAGTATATTATCTGATGGGATGTGCTTTCTCTGTTGGGCTGCCTATCCTGTGGAACAGCACACCATCCAAGCGTAGTGTGGTCACCCATGCTGGCCTTTCATGGACTGCTGAAATCTTGGTTTTTCTCTGGGTGATTGGGCCAAGGCACTTGATCACTTCTACTTTAATCACATGCCATTTACCTTTATTAGTTTTTGGGGATTTTAAACCATTTATTTATATAGATAATTGCTTGAGAAAATTGGAATTATTAATACTACCAACAAAGAAAGCTTCCTAAAGGGAAAAAACCCACAATATATTTAAATGGGATGAAGCAAAATGTTAAGCCCTTGTCAATCCACAGCAATTTTAGAACTAACAGGAAGAATATTACTCCTTCTAATTAAGAGAATAACCTGTTACTACTAAAGCATATTTCAATCTATAAATGTTGATTTAAAAAGCCATCAATACTTGTCAGTAAGGCACAAAATGTTATCAGTATATAATAATAATTTATGGTAATTGATATTCTACTTTTCTTAGTCAATGGTTCTGAAGTCAAATAAAAAATGAGAGGAGAGAGTGGACATTTATGGTTCCTCATGGCATCATAACAAGAAATTATTTTATGATAAACCCTCCTAACTCTTTATAATACTATGTTTTAATCCAGTGAACAAGATTGAAAGCATAGTTGGTTGGCTAGTTGTTGGAGAAAATTTACCAATTTTTTTAATGGAGTTCAACAGCCTGTTTGGTGAGGGTTCAAATATATCTGATGAAAAATACTCTTAATTGTATGTGATTAACTGCACTAATGGTGTTTTACCTCCACTGGTTTCACAAACATATATCCTAAATAAATTAAGAAAATTAACAGAAAGAATATGCCAGAGAAGTAGCTACTCTCCCTTAGAAAGGATGAGCGTGCCTTGCGGTTCTTTCTCCTGCAAGGGTAGAATCTTCCCCAGAGCCCTCCTGATTCCTGCTCCTTGAATCTGCCCTCCCTTGCCCCGGTGTCTGCTGTGTCTAATTCAATGATGGTCCTATCATTTTTTCCCAGCTTTGATGACCATGACCCAGCAGTGATCCACGAAAATGCCTCACAACCAGAGGTGCTGGTCCCAATCCGGCTGGACATGGAAATCGATGGGCAGAAACTGAGAGACGCTTTTACGTGGAATATGAATGGTTTGTAAAGAAAGATATGCAAATGATCTAATCATCCTGATTCCAGGCATTGGAAACATTCATGAGTAAATATGGCTTTTCCCTAAAAATACATTTTACCTACTCTTAACTTCAGATTGGAAGGTGTACACACTTGAGTTTTTTTAACTGTGAACAGAAAATGCAGCAGTTTTCTAAAGGGTTTTGACGTTTTCAGATAAATCAGTAAACCAGAAAATATTTTCTTTTTAGCTATGCACCAATCAGCACACTCAGAAAAGGCTTTGGAGTTAAATCATTAGCATAAATTGGCCACATCCAAAGCAGCACAAAGAGATTTATTTTAGGGCCCTCAATAAGGCATCTGCAGCAGGTGCTTGCACTCACCACACTTACATAGTACCTTTTTATGCTCCTGTGTACAATCTTGATTTTGTTAGTGTCAGAAACGAAAGCTTCATAGAACTGTTTTGAAAGTCTACTTTTGCCTGTGAATATATTGTGTATACTGTATTTTAAGTCATTCTGTTAACCAATTCAAGAGAAATGGTTGAAATGGTTTTTACTTGTAGCCTGACAAAAATGATTTAGAGTATTTATAGCTCAGAGGCAAATGTTGCTGTGGTATTTGCCTAATAACACAGGTTTCTCGTTTCCATCAGAAAAACTGATGACTCCAGAAATGTTTTCAGAGATTCTCTGTGATGACTTGGATTTGAATCCCCTCACTTTTGTTCCTGCGATCGCATCTGCAATCCGACAGCAAATTGAGTCCTACCCTACCGACAGCATCCTGGAGGACCAGTCAGATCAGCGGGTCATCATTAAGGCAAGGAAAGGGGAGGCAGTGGGGAAAGTACCGCAAAGCTCTCTGGCTTGTGAAGACAGGTCAGCTTTAATAAAGTGATGCAGAGCATAGAAAAAAGCAAAACAAAGGCTGGAGACCGGAGAAAAGGACATGCAGCAAGTTTTTTTCCATACCATTTGTTACATCTCTCTGTGATTTTCTGTCATTGAAAGCCATTCTTGCCTCCAGCACACCAATAATTTAACTTCTCGCCTCTCTCTTTTTGAAGATTTCATTACCTCTGTACCAGGGGTGAAATGTTCCCGGTTCAGACCGGATTACCCGATCCAGTAGCGATGGAGGCGGGTGGTTCGGAGAACCGGTAGCAAAAATCCCTACCCCCACCACCACCACCATGCCCAGCTGAGCCGCGCAATCATCAGAGGCTTTTTTTTTTAATTTTTAAAAGCATTTTTTCTACAACCTCTTCGGGCGAAAAAATGCTTTTAAACGTTTTTTTTAAAAAGCCTCTGATGATTTTGTGGCTCAGCTGGGATCGTCAGAGGCTTTTAAAAGCATTTTTTCTACAACCTCTTCAGAGATTGTAGAAAAAATGCTTTTAAAAGCCTCTGACGATCCCAGCTGAGCCGAAGAGGTTGTAGAAGAAATGGTTTTAAAAGTTTAAAAAAATGGCCACGCCCAGCCAGTCACATTACCCCCCCCCAAACCACGCCCACAGAACCAGTAGTAACTAATTTTAGATTTCACCACTGCTCTGTACAAAAGCCAGGGTCTCTGCCTTTCCCTTTCTCTCATTTTCTCTCTGTTTAGTCATCTGCTTATTGGTTTTGTATTCTACTCATTCGTTTTTATCTGTATGATAAAATCATTCAGCTTACTTCTTTCTGCATACACATTCATCACTCATTAGTTCTGTTTCTGTTGTTCAGTTTTGCTTTTTCACATGCTTCTTATGGAGCCTATTCCCTGTTTTATGCTTCCATATATGACTCTTTATAACAAAGTGGGGAGAAGCCCCCTCTGATGAAGAGCAGCTTTGTTTCCATCTGTCCTCAGTCCTTCCTTACTACAGACACATGCTGTTCCACAACAGTTTTGCTAACAGTGTCAGGTCTACTGTCTTCTTCCATCGACTGTCCCATCTTACTGTGAAGGTATAGAGCAGTGGTTCTCAACCTTCCTAATGCCGCGACCCTTTAATACAGTTCCTCATGTTGTGGTGACCCCCAACCAGGGGTGGGTTCAAATTTTTTTTACTACCGGTTCTGTGGGCGTGGCTTATTTTGTGGGCGTGACTTGGAGGTCATGTGACTGGGTGGGCGTGGCTAGCTGGTCATGTGACCGGGTGGCCATGGCTATGTGTATAGGGACTACTCAGAGGGCTGAAAAAAGTCATTTCTGACAGGTCCTCGCACTTTTGACTGGTCCTCACACTTATGACCATCCTCACATTTATGCCCGTGCAGCATTCTTAACCATGTCACTCATTTCACAACTGCTTCTTTTCACCATGGTGACAAGATAGGGCAAAAAGGTAAAATGTGAGGACAGTCGTAAGTTCGAGGACTGGTCAAAAGTGCGAGGACCAGTCAAAAATAACTTTTTCAGCCCTCTAAGTAGTCCATATGCATAAAAGGATTCAGCAATAGAGAGAGATGAAGGAGGGAAGGGAAATTAGAGTAGGAGTGAGGGTAAGAGAGGGAGGAAGAGAGGAGGAGAAGGAGAAAGGAAGAGGAAGTAGGGAGGAGAAGAAGAGGGGGAGGAAGAGAAAGGAAGAAGGAAAGAAAAGAGAGAGGTGGTAGGTTTGAGGAGAAAGATTGCTGTACAATAAAAAAGATGAAAGGGAAGAAAGCCAACCCCAAACAAATATAAAGATATTAAAATAAAGAATGAATTGTTAAACTTTAAAGAATAAAAGAGAACAAATATGAATAAATAACAATAATTAGAAAACACACATACAAACATACAGTGTATTTTCTTTGAACAGAGTATTTGGCCGGTTCACAAATTTAAACAGTGTTTAGTCATTTCAATTAAATTTACAATTTCTATATTTCCTTTTTGCCATATTTATTCCTCATCTATTTTCGTAAAAAACCAATATTACCCTTCATCCTCATCTCTAATCTTAATCAAATTCAGTTTTTCCCTTCTATTCTATATTATGCCCCTTCCCATTGTCATCTATTTTTATATCCATCCTCACATTGGTTAATTATGTAATATTACAGTTGTTTAATATAAATTCAACATTTTAATATAAATCAATTAGTTATATAACTACCTTTTTTGTATATTAATCAATATGAACATGAATATTCCAATTATTTCCATGCAATCCAATTTCTTACAAATCAATTAATTATATTTACCAATAATAATAAACCAAATAATTTCCCCCATATATTCCTCCAAACCACAACTTAACCATTTCTGCTTTCAACACAATATACAATTAATAGTATCTTAATTATTACAATTCCCTAGTTAAATAGAGCTTTTTTTCTTTTGTGTTTTAAAATCTTGAACTCTCCTCTTTTTCCCTAAATTTCCCATTGTTTACACCTACCTTTTTTGGTGAGGAAAAAGAAAAGAAATCTGCCTGCCTAATTTTCCAACTTGCAGCAACAGCAAAGCCAACAGCCTCTTTACTTTCAGTTTTGTTTTTCAGCATAGCTAGGGGAAAAAAAATCTGCTCGAGCAAGCAGCAGAGCTCTGAGCAAAACAGCTGAGAGTAAATCAGCTGGGGGTCGGGAGCCGATCTAAGCAAGGGCTAATTAGCCTATGCTGAAGCTCCGCGGGCCAATAAAATTACAAAAAAACACCGAACCATTTGTTAAATTGCTGGCTCGCCCGCCCCCTCGCCCACCACTATTTATTGGCAATAAATAGTGGTGCGGAGGGGTGGGGCAAGCCAGCAATTTAACGAACGGTTCGGCTGCACCACTGGCTATAGGGTGGCCCTTTGAAGCCCCGCGGCAAGAATTTAAACAGTTTTTTTTCCTCTAGCCATCAGCTGGGACTCAGAAGGCAGCAATAGATTGGGAGTGGGCGGGGTAAGCGAACGGCCGGCGATCCAACAGAGCAGAGAGTGAGGATGAGTGAAGGCGTGGGGGGGGGCGAGAGAGGGCTTTGGCGACCCCTGTGAAATGGCCGTTCGACCCCCAAAGGGGTCGCGACCCCCAGGTTGAGAACCGCTGGTGTAGAGGAACATCTTTTGGCTCTCCAGAGAGCTCAATTTTAACATAATGTGTTCAAAATATGATACAAAGAAGTTCTTGACTTACAATCACAATTTGGACCAGAATTTCCAATGCTAAGCAAGACAATGGTCACGTGAGTCCCACTGATTTTGTATTAAGCAAATCACATCGTCATTAAAGAAATCCTTCTTCCCATACTGACTTTGCTTCTCAGAAGCCAATTGGGAAGGTTGCAAATGATCAACATGTGACTCAGGACACCGCAACCATTGTAAATAGATGCTGGCTTCCAAAGCCTGAATTTTGACCATATGATGCAAAGGTCATAAGTGCAAGGACTGTTCATAAGTCACTTTTCTGTGCCACTGTAACTTCAATGGTTGTAATTTGAGGACTATCTGTAATTTGAGCCTGGACATTTGTGTCTCAGCTGGAAACTCCATATTGATTTGTTCAATTTTTTTTTTTTTTTTGATTTGATTTATATGCCGCCCTTTTCCGGAGACTCAGGGCGGCTTACAATGCGTTAAGTAATTTGGTTGTTTTCTTGGCTGTTCATCGTATTCTCAGGATTTTTCTCCAATTCCAAAGTTCCAAACCATCAATATTGTTTCTGTTCCGCTTCTTCAAAGTCCAGTTTCCATGTTCATAGAGTGTTGAAGTGGGAAGAGCCAGGATTATGAATGCGATCACATGACATCTTATGTCAGCATTCTGATGCTGCCATAAAAAGACGAGGCTTGACTTTTCACCTACTTATTTCTTTGTAGATAATATCCCCTAGGACAGTGGTCCCCAACCTTTTTATCGCCGCGGCCCGCTGAGCGCGCGCAGGGGTGGGGGCACGGCCCAGGAGCTTTTGCGCACAGCCCATTGCGCACGGCCCAGGAGCCTTTGCACTGCAGCGTTCATGTCCCCCGGCCGCTGCGCGGCCCGGTGCCAGGTACTCCACGGCCCGGCACCGGTCCGTGGACCGGGGGTTGGGGACCAGTGCCCTAGGAGATGGGATGGTGAGGGGAAGATTCCTATGGGGTGAAGTCAGAAGCTGAGGAGACTGACTTGGAAGATGGCAATGAGAAATGAGAATTGGGGAAAGGGAAGGGTTTGGGGGTCAGAGGGTTAGTATCGGCTACGACTAAGTCGGGGCCAGATCTGTCGTACTCAATAAATTGAATACTTCAGCAAAGATTAATTGTTTGGGAGTGCAATTTATTTGAGATGACATCAAAACCTGACATCTTGCTTTGCAACCATATCACTTAGAAGGGCAAATTCTAATCAAAGTTTGGTTGTAAATTGAGGACTACCAGCACAGACATATCACAGTGTGAGATATAAAAACCCTAATTGTATACTCACAATTCAAAAACAAGTCTGGTTCACAAAATCAAAGGTTTATTGGAGATATCATGAAGAAAAATAAAAAGCACAGCCTCTTAGACTCTTCCCAATTGGATTGAGTTCAAAGAACGCAAAATGCAGTTTTCAAGCTACGCATTTTATACTCCTACACAATGCATGCCATGCCTAAGAAGCACTCCCAACTCCCCTTATGTCATTCTCCAAGTTGTTTTACACTTTAAAGGGTCATCTTGACATTTCCTGCCTAACAACAACTATCTTATCATGTTTACTTTTAATTTTCATCTTGAGCAGATGTTCCTTTCTTACTGATAGTGGTCTTGCCAAGGCATAGGTTCCTGTCTCCAAGGGAGCTTTTAGCAAGTCATTACACATTGTCTCTACTGATTACAATTTGTGGTCAGTTTGCAACAGTAAGAACATCATAGCTTTTTAAAACATTTAACACTTTTATAAAATAATAACTTATTATTCATTTCCTTCACCAGCATCTGAATTTCTTTCCAGGGCTTCCATTGCTACTCTAACTAATTAAATCCATCCATCCTAACTAATTAAGTCATTAAAATTTAAGTCACTCCCTCCAGCTTAGCTTCATAGAATAAAGTCTTATTTCCAGGAATGTCTATCAAGTCTCTTTTCTTCAAGAAATTCTCAGCCTTATTAATATCCATGAAAAAGTCCCAAAGATCTGTTAAAAATTGTAGATTAACTTAGAGTACTTCCTTGTAGAATAAAAAATCTCTGAGATTTCTATCTTTTTTTCTCAAAGGATTCTCAACCTTGTTAGTATCCCAAACTTGACCTCTTCAAAATTGTGAATTTACTTGCCACTCTTGTTTCAATAGCACTGGGAAGATTATATTCAAACCATCACCATAATGATATCAGATTTATATTCCAAAATTAGTTATTTGCATTGTCCAGTATTTGTTGACTTGTCACAAAGGGGTGATAATTTTCTACATCTAACTGTATCTCTTGTTCTTTTTAATATCATCTGTATGGTTTGTATCTTTAGTCCCTAGCCGGTTTATGGTAGATGATTTTCTGTATAGAACTTTCAAAGATTACCCTGATGACAGACCCAGGGTCAGGATTAAGCATCTTCATAGCTCCCTCTAGTGGTCAAACATTTATTTATTCCTTCCTTCCTTCCTTCCTTTTCCTGGCCAGACTTCATGAAAATAGGAAAATTTCAATCACCGATAAATAAAGCAATCCAGGGCTACAGATTATTTTTAAAAAAGTAAAATTAAACCACATCTTTTATCCTTATGTTTTTCCATCAAATTTAAAAAGAAAAAATATTCCACACTTCCTTATTTTAGCTGCCTCTAGCAATCCTCTTCCATGTCATTTAACAATAAAGAAATTTCAAAAATGGTGCAGAGCTTCAAAAAGGCTGTGACTAAAGAGAGCCTCTTTTAGCTAATAAAGATAATAGTCTCCTAAATTGGTTAAGAAATAAGGCACGACTTATTGTCCATTTGAAAAAATAAATTCCAAAATGGCTGTTTTATCCAGCAGTGAAATAATTGCAGCCCTGCCCCCCCTCCCCCAGCTGCTTCAAAGCACAGCTTCTGAAACTACTTGCTTATAGGAGGATCTTGAAGGATGACTCTAGGACTCTCCCTAACCAAGGAGAATCAGATAAGTGAAAGTCTGTTCCTTCTGTTGTTAAGTTGGAAAAATGACTGTCCAGAGAGGAGATTCTCTGGGCGTGTCAGGTGTTGGCCGTATCACCGTAAGAGTGCAGTGTATTTCGTGGCTGCTGGTTCTTTTACTGTTGAAAGCCCTAAAAGGCAGAAGCTCTGCATCATTTCAACATTTTCATTTTCAGATCCAAGGGTCATTGCTGTACCTGTTGCCATTAATGTGGTCTTCTTTATATTTAAGCTGTTTTGTTCTCAATTTTCTCAATTTTGATTCCCAAAGTCTGCAGATCACTTGACTTTTCAGCTACTGCTTTTGCTTTATAAGCAGTATACATTTTATTTTAATATGTTAACTACTATCTTTTGTAATTGCATGCTATGTTTGGCTAAAAGACTTTAGATGAGTTTTCTTTAGATTTTAATTGTATGCTATTCTGAAAGATGGAGATACATATATTTTTATAGGAATAAGCAAGTCCTATGAAAAAGTTTCTGATGAGACATAAACAAGAATAGTTGCCTTGCATGACACCTCTGGGTACCTTTGTACTGTTCCATTTCTTTGCTGGAGTTTTTTATTACTGCCTACCCGAACATGTCCTGAAATAGGTGGAGCATGGAATCTGTTGCTCTACAAAGGAAGGCAGCCAGCAGGCATGGAGGCCTTGTGTTGAAGTTCAGTCTGTAGCACTCGGTTTCTTTGATCTTCATATTCTGTAGGAGATGGAGAGGGATGGCTAGATTCCAGTTCGCTTGACATATAAAAAATGAACCTCACTTGTGTCTTATGCTTCTAGCTCAACATTCATGTGGGGAACATCTCCTTGGTGGACCAGTTTGAGTGGGATATGTCTGAGAAGGAGAATTCCCCTGAGAAGTTTGCCCTGAAGCTGTGCTCAGAGCTTGGTCTGGGTGGTGAGTTTGTCACCACCATCGCTTACAGCATCCGGGGGCAGCTGAGCTGGCATCAGAAGACGTACGCCTTCAGGTATTTATGCTTTGATCCTGTCCCCAAGTTGGGGAATCTGAGGGATAGCCGATTTATGAACCACCAGGTATTGCTGAATATTTCCTTTGGCTGTGCTGCTCAGGACTGTTGGAAATAGACATTCTGAGAGGCACAGCTTTCCCACTCCTACCACGTGGAGTTCAGCTGTTGTGACTGCAAGAGGCTGTAATGCAGCACCTCTGCTTCCTTGCACCTGGGAGTCCAAGTGTCTTCCACAATCTGAAGCCAACTTGTCTGCTTAACTTCAGATCCAATTCTGCTGGATGTGGCAGTCCATATAGGATGTGAGTGAGAATAAAAGGATGTGACCCTGTACTCCAAGGTTTGGAGCTCAGGACTTGGTTAGCTCTGATTCTTCTCTCCCATGTCATCTGTTAGTGAAAACCCCCTGCCAACCGTGGAGATTGCCATTCGTAACACTGGGGATGCCGACCAGTGGTGCCCTCTGCTTGAAACCCTCACTGATGCAGAAATGGAGAAGAAGATCCGAGACCAAGACCGGAACACAAGGTACTGCCTGCCGCCTCTCCTTGTGGAATTTTTTTTTCTTTTTCTGCATGATATCAAATGTACTTGCCTAAAGTAGCTCCACAGCGAGATAGCTGGCAAATAAATTTAACAAATAAATACAAATGAAAAACCTTCGATGTTCCCAGACGGTTCACAGATTTTAAAATTAGAATTAAGTAGTTCTGACAATCAGAAGAAGAGTTAAGACTCTCAACTCTTCCCAGAGTCTTCAGGTAAAGTTTTGGATGGTTCATGGATCCCCAAACAATGTATGAAAATAATTTAATAAATACTACTTTAATTAATAGTTCTAAAAATAATAATAACAATGGATTGTCCCTTTGATCTTTTGGGGTCAGTACTGACCATTTTGAGGAACCCTGGCTAATTGTTCCTCTGTGGTTTGCAGGGAACTTTCCTGAAAATGCTCTTGTGTCATGGATTGTGCTGAATTCCATGTACTGAAATGGGAATGATGATTTGTTTTCCCTGCACAGGAGTTGTTCCTGTCTTCTTTTCCAACCTGTTTCCCAGTTTAAACTGAAGTTGTGCCATGAATCTGCTGATGATGAATCTTGTTGTCTTTCCTGCAGGCGCATGAGGCGTTTAGCAAACACAGCTCCAGCCTGGTAACCTCTGCAGAGGACCTTTGGCCACCAGACTGTCTCTCCGAAGGACTGGCCTCCTGCTTGGGGGCCTGCAGCCTTCTCTGGACTAGCTTGGCAAGCCAGGCGTCCCTCTTTTCCCCAGTCTCTACCTCTGGGGGTCCAGTAAAGATGGATTGTGGCAGCTGTCAAAACCTTCTTTTCTCACGCCCAAACGACTTTTTAAATAAATAATCCATCAAGATGGAAGATGCATTTCCAAATTCCTTTTCTTTGTCCCCAAATGTATACTAATTAGTTCCCTTTTTTCTCTGTCCATGTGCCTAGCAGTTGATTTTTCTTTGCAATATTTGGGGATGGGGGTGTCACTAAACCACTATGTGACACATTTGGTTTTGGTGTAGCTTGTTGCATGATCTCAGCTCATTTCTTTAGTATAATGGTGGTTAAGCAAACCAGTATGATCTAGGAACTCAGTTAATGGCTTGTTTTAGAAGTATGTTTCTTCCATTGTTGCCTGACTGCATGACAGTCATTCTGAAGTGCTTGAGTTAACAAAATGAGCTGGTGATGTTTCTATTCTGGCTGAACACGAGTCTCTTTTAAGCAACACCTGTTATTATCTGCTTTAGAATTTTGCCCAGTTCTGCAATTGCCCAAGATGACTCCTGATTATATTTTAATAAACATTTCCAGCCTGATATAACATATATTGAAATACTATGGGGATATTTTAGAAGCTGTATAATGCTGGTTTTATAAAGGTTTATATTTTTATATTATATTATAAATATATTATAAATATAATACCGTGTTTCCCTGAAAATACAACCTATTCAAAAAGTAAGGCCTAGCCCGATTTTGTGGGGGTAGGCCTAATATAAGCCCCCCAAAATAAGCCCTATTGAAGTGGGTGGGCGTGGCCAGCACAGGAGGCAGCCCTTCCCTTCCCCAGTCACCTCAGGGCTGCTCGGCCCATTAATCGGGAGCCATGGATCAGCTGAGCTGCTCTAGCCACTGCCTCCAGTAAGTGGCCGCTTTTGCAGCCAATTGCGGCCACAAAAAGCCAGAGGCCAAGCAGTATGCCCCACGATCCTCACGCCGGCCTTCTGAAGGGTACTGTAGCAGCAGCTATCCACAATTTTTTTTACCATTATTTTGTCCTGACCCACGTGGCCCAGTATGGTCTTAAAAGTTAACATTTCTGAAATGGTACCGAAGGGTACTGCTGCTACAGTACCCTTTGGAAGGCCGGCGCAAGGTGCGTGGGGCGCATCACTTGGCCTCCTACTGCTTTTGTGGCCACGATTGATGGCAAAAGCAGCCGCGCTTGCTGGAGGCAGCGCTCGGAGCGGCACCCACGAGGCAGCTGTTCCGTGGATGGAACTGCCTGCTGTGACTATCACTGTTAGGTAAGGAGGGTGTGAGGCGTGTGGGGTGCATCACTTGGCTTCCAGCTGCTTTTGCGGCTGCAATTGGCTGCAAAAGTGGTCACGCTTGCTGGAGACAGCGGCCTGAGCGGCACCTGCGAATCAGCTATTTCTTGAATGGTGGGATGGCCTGCTGTAACCTTTCAAGAAGCTAGCATGTGGGGCCCCTCGCCCCCGCCTCATACCAGTACATGGGGGGGGGGAAATAAGACACACACACACACACCGAAAAAAAGAACCCTAGCCGGTTTTTCGAGGATCAAAAGAAAATAAGACACAACCTTATTTTCGGTGAAACATGGGTATATTCATAAACTGCTGTGGACGTAGCCTGTCTGGATTTTAGCAAGGTGTTTGGTACAGTTGCACATAACAAACTCATGAAAAGTTGTAGAGGCTCTGGCTTAACCCCTGGGTGGTTCAGTGGTGGAAAGTTGACTCAAGGACAGAGCCCAGGATGTGAATGTTCATCGCCCACTGTCTCAGACCTGTCACAATTGGCATACTCCCAGGTTCAGTTCTAGGTCCTCTTCCGTTCAGCATTGTAAATGATATAACAGAAAGATTGCTAGGTAAGATTTGTCTTTTTGCTGATGACACACAAATTTATAATAGAGTTGGTGTTCCTGGGGATATTTGTAACATGGAAAATGATTTGGCATGGCTGAAAAATTGGTCAAAATGTAGAGACTGCAGTTCAGTGTTTCTAAATGTAAGATCATGCACTTAGGGAAAATGAATCCTCTGACGGTACAGAATTAGGGGTACAGTGTTGGATAAGAGAAGAAAAAGATGTAGGTGTACTCATAGCAAATGACTGCAAAATGAGCAAACCATGTGGCCAGGTAGCTGTGAGCACAAACAAAATTCTGGGATGCACCACTAGAAGGAACAAGGAAAAAGGAGCTCCTAATCCTGCTATAGAAAGAGCTTTAGTCAGACCCCATTTGGAACACTGTCCAGTTCTCGAGACCCCACTTCAAAACATGATATAAAACTGAGCAGATCCAGAGATGGGCAACAAAAATGGTGCAAGCTTTGAGGGATAAAACATATCAGGAGAGATTGGAGAAACTGAATACATTATTGTGGCCACCAGACTCGAACAGTGAGGAGGTTGGGGAGGAACATGGGTCAGTCCTGGAGTCTGGGGAAGGCTCTGATGGGTGCTCAGCGTTGGAGGCAGAGATGGACATGGAGTAGGAGATAAGTGGGGAAGAAGAACAGCTGGAGCCTGTTCCATATGCGCATATGGACAGAACTGTCGAGAGAAGGGGATAACTAAGGAATGGGTCAACTCGGAAGTAAAGGATGCTGAATGGCCACTCCCATAGGGAATAAATAGGAGCAAAAGGAGAGTGTTGTTTGCATTTAGTTTGCTTACTATTGTGAAGATTTGCTTATCTGAGTTCGTGCCTCACAGAGACCCCTTGCCAGGTATTTCATTTTACAGCATTGCAACTGGAAGCTATCGGCCTGGCAACTATCCAAGGACTGATAAGGTCTGTTCTTGCAATTAAACCTTGAAAGGCTTATTGATGGGGATTTTCTGGATGTGAATGATAGCAATTCACATTAACCAAATAAAAAGAGGAGTTTTTTCGGGACAAGGAGTCTATCTTGTGATTCTGTTAAGCCTGGGCAGAACATGCTGCTTGAGCAAGTGGGGATGCATGCATGCTTGCCCACCGCTTTAGGCAGCCCAGCAGTGGTCCGGGGGTTGGGGACCCCTGTTCTAGAAGGCAGTATTTTCAATGTTAAACAAAACTCAAGAACACAAGTATAAGCTCAAACTAATAGGAGGGAAGATCAAAAGTCATGTTAGAAAGGATGACTTCACAGAAAGAATAGTAGAAGCTGGGAACCAGTTTCCAGCAGCGGTGGTGGGTCACTGACTTTAAACATGCTTGGGATAAGCATGTGTCCATCATTTGACAAAAAATAAAAAATACAAGTTTTAAATTTATTTAAATAAATAAAATAAAAAAGGGCATACTTGATAGCAATAGCAGATTTATATACTGCTTCATAGTGCTTTACAGCCCTCTGAGCAGTTTACAATGTCAGCATTTTGCCCCCAACAATCTGGGTCCTTGTTTTACTGGGCTTGGAAGGGCGGAAGGCTGAGTTCTCCAAGAAGAGCTGCGGTGGCGCAGTGGTTAGAATGCAGCACTGCAGGCCCCTGCTGACTGCCAGCAGTTTGAGTCTCACCAGCTCAAGTGTCAGCATTCCAACTAACAACCCCAACAAAACAACACCCTTGAGGCAGACAATTCCTCAAAGTTCCTTTTTATTAGAGAAGTCATATTGGCACATCTGGGAAAACCCAAATCAGAGTTCCGAGGTTTCCCCACCCAAAAGAACGTCAAAGATCTATCCCCTGCACCCACATCGGCTGGAGGCAATCCCCAGCCACTCCCATCCAGGTGCAGGGCAGTTGTCCTTGACTCCCAGAGAAAGGAATGTTATGGCTAAACTTCCACCACTCCTTGCAGGCACTAAATGTGGCAGCTCCAAAGAAAAAGATGGCTTCCAGGGCTGACATCAAGGTTAACTCAGCCTTCCATTGTCCGAGGTTGGTTAAATGAGGACCCAGATTGTTAGGGGCAATAGGCTGACACTGTATAGCGCTTAGAGAGGGCTGTAAGGCACTGAAGCGAATGCAGTCAGCCTGCAATGCTGAGTTCTACTCACTGTAGAGTAGAACCACCACAGTTCCTGGTGATGGACTAGCAGGTCATCTTTTGCCATCTGTTTCCTGTGTTTCTATATAGCAGCGCCATATATAAGATATAAGCTGAGTAGTTCTGCGTTGGCTTGTTTGCTCTCTCAAAAGCTGGGAGGGGTGGAGTGAAAGAGCACCAGGAAATCCCAGCATTAGGGTTGGCTAAATGAGTAAAAAAGGCAGGGTTAGGGTTAGCCACAAAAAGTGTATGCAAAACAGATAGTCTTTGATGTACAACTACAATTGGGGCCAAAATTTCTGTTAAGTGAGACATTTATTAAATGAGTTTTTCCTCATTTTGCACCTTTCTTGCCACAGTTGTTAAGTGAATCACTGCAGTTGATCAATTAGTAACCCAATTGTTAAGTGAACTCTGCCTTCCCCATTGACTTGGCTTGTCAAAAGGCTGCAAAAGGGGATCACATGATCTTGGGACACAGCAACGGTCATAAGTATGAACCAGTTGCCAAGCATGACCATGGGGATACTGCTATAAGAGTGAAAAACAGTCATAAGTCACTTTTTCAGTACTGTTGTAACTTTGAATGGTCACTAAATGAACTGCTGTAAGTCGAGGACTACCTGTAGTCACCAGGAGTCCAGTGTGATTTGAAAGAATCTTCCCTTCCCCATAAAAAGGGAATGCAGTGGCCTCTCACTGATTTGTATAAATGGTCTCTCCCCCCCCCCCCCATAATGCTTCCCAGGCTTTTTGCCATATAGTAGAGTTGATACGAGGGTTTAAGCATACAGTTAGGGGCAACTCCTCTGTGTCCCTCCTGAAATCTCAGGTTGGACTTGCTTGCACTGAATCAATGTTGGGGAAAAGACAGGAGCCTTAGGGGAGTGTTTAGGGTTTGATTCCGTAAGCAGCTTGACAAGAAGCAGGAAAGGAGTAGAGTCGAGGGGAGGTTTTTTTCTACCTCTTTAGTCACTGAACCTCAGTTTTAGAAGTCTGGTTATGATCTGCCAAGTGGATCCAGCTGCCCAATACCCTTTCCAGTACACACACACACACACACACACACACACACACACACACACACACCCCTCACCAGGAGACAGAGGCAGCACAGACAGAGAAGTGAGGGGAACAAGACATGCTCCAGGTCAGATCAGAATGGCCAGATTCAGGACAGGGAACCTTTTATTTTTTTAAAGGGTGGAATTTGCAGAATAAAAACAAATTAACATTGAATAGTGGATTATAAAGTCCAGCCCCTGAGATTCTAGACTTGTAAATGACAAAAGAAATATAAGAGGAGGTGGAAATTAGAGATTAAATCAGTGAAATGGCTTCCAAGAAATAACAGTAAATGGAGATAATACTATACTGTGCCACTTTTATTTAGTTGTAAACTGCATAGAGCAGAGGTGTCAAACTCAAGGTGCTTAGATCTGACCCATGGGGCTGCCCTGGAAACAATGAAGGACCAGCCGGCGGTGCCTCTGCCAGCGAAAATGGAGCTCAGGATGGCTGCAGGTAGCCCTCCCTGGCTCCGTTTTCAGCCGTGATGGCCTCCTGCAGCTCTCTGCCAGTGAAAACAGGAAGCCCACCAGGAGGCTGGCGTGGCTGAAAATGGAGCCTCAACGAGTGACGTTGAGCCGGCCACGCCCACCCTGGTCACACACATACCTACCCCCAGAGGTCAAACACAAGCCTGATGCGGCCCCCAATGAAATTGAGTTTGACACCCCTGGCCTAGAGTCTCCTTTAGGCCAGATTGGCAGCATATAAAAATAAAAAAGAGGAAAAAAGAGAGTTTTGGTAAAGAAGTCTTTAGTAAAAAAAAAAATTAAAATAAAAATCTCACTTAATGTAATGGGCACTGTTCTTCCTGTCCATGACTGGTAGCATCTCTACATATTTGGCTAAAACTATGTAGAGATGGAAGTTAGGAAGCCTTACTGATTATATTGAATGCTCACATGTTTGTTATATTTTGATACCTCTGCAGCAATCTTCTGGTTTTCATTGTTAAGTTTAATTTTTCTTTTAATACAGATTGAGTTTAATTGATAAGTGGTTAAGGCTCCAAGTTAGAAACTGGGAGACTGTGAATTCTAGTTCTGTCTTAGACAACAAAGTTGGCTGGGTGACTTGGGCCAGTTTCTCTCAGCCCAACTCACCTCAGCTAATACTTGTGGAGAAAATAGGAGTGAGGGAGAAGTTTTAGGCATGTTCACCACCTTGAGTTATTTTACAAAAACAATAAAAATGAGACATTTGTGATAATTACCCCTTGTGATTTCCCCCATTTACCCTTTTCCGCCCACGTCCAGCTGGCACAATCATTTGCATAGGCTGTTCTGTGTTGGGGCTGTTTTTGGCGTTTGGGGGTGTACAGTGGGTGAAGGGACTTCTCTTCCACTTATGCAATCATTGCTGCTTCTGATGCTCCGTTGGGTTCGTTGATCCCACAGAGCTCTAATGCAACATCTAATGCTTGAGATGTTGTCATTGATAAACCAAGGATTGTGGCTTCCTACTATTATTTGTGAACCTAGCCAGTTGTTGATTGAAAAGTAAAGGGATTGCCAGGCACTCCTCTGCAGGTGGCTGCCCTGACCAAGTAGGGAAGGGCAGAAAATATGTATCTTTTCCCTATGGAAGAACTGTATGGTAGGAAATAATAGCTATCTTCTTTCCTGTTTCTGCTAGTAGAAGAAAAAAAGTAGACAAATATCCATTGCAGTTGTTTCTATTCTTAAATTAAATTTAGTTTATAGACCAAAAGGCATGTTTTATCAGGGAGTGTGTGATGCTTGAACCAGAATTCCCAGTAATGTTTGTCCCCCCATTCCAAAAGTCCCATCTGTTGTGATTTTGATCTGGGTATGAAGAATACTGAAGAGAAGGACTGGGGGTGACATGAGAGCAGCCTTGCAGTATTTAAGGGATTCTCATAGAGAAAAGGGGCTCAACCTCTTTTCCAAAGTATCAGAGGCAGGAAAAGTAATGGGTAGAAAGAACTTGTGGGCACTCCATCACTGGAGGTTTTCAAGAAGAAATTAAGAGCCATTTGTCCAGAATTATAAAAGGGTCTTCTGCAGGAGGTTGGACTAGAAGACTCCCATGTCCTTTCCAACCCTATTGCTTCATGTTCTGCTTTGTATTTAAACTTTATCAGAAACATGAGTTACTGTGCGTGTTTATAACACCTCCTCCCTCTGGCCTAGGAAAAGGGCTCTCTAGGCAAAGGTGTATGGTTAATGATGTGTAACTCACAGGACAGGAAACCAGAGTGTAAAATTTACAGCTTAAAATACAGGAAGATCAACAGGACAATAAAAAATCCACTTACAAATTGTTCCTGTGGGCTATGGTTTTACTGTCCCAGATGGAGAGGCAGCATGGTAGAGAGGTTAATATTTGACACACACTCTCTCCCCAATTTCAATTCATCATGTATTATCTGAATTGCAACTTAACCTTTTTTTTTAATTTGATTTATATGCCGCCCTTCTCCGAAGACTCAGGGCGGCTTACAATGTGCTCAGCAATAGCCTTCATCCTTTTGTATATTTATACAAAGTCAGCTTATTGCCCCCACAAACTGGGTCCTCATTTCACCTACCTTAGAAAGGATGGAAGGCTGAGTCAACCTTGAGCCTTGGCGAGATTCAAACCCTGCAGTAATTGCAGGCAGCTGGTCTTAATAACCAGCTTAATAACAGGGTGCCTTAAACCCCTGTACTACCAAGGCTGTTCATCATATGAAGAGCCTTCATCATATCCAGAGCACCTTCATCATATCCAGCAATTGCAAACCCCTAGTAGATACTGGAACAACAGACCTGGGAGTCAGATGGTCTAGGCCATAGGTGTCAAACTTGTGGCATTGTGCTGCCGTCATGTGACATTTTGTGATATTTTCCCCTTCACGGAGCTGGGATGGGTGTGGCCTGTGCATGATGCATCCGGCCTGCAGGCTGCCAGTTTGACACCCCTGGTCTAGGCTGTGGAGAGCACCATTCAGGACCATCTTTGGTCATTAAAGCTTTGGGGACTTTCAGCCCAATCTGCCTTACAGGGTTGTGGGAATGCTCTAGATCAGGGGTGTCAAACTCAAGGCCTGGAAGCTGGATCTGGCCCATGGAGTACTTACATCTGGCCCATGGGGCCACCCTGGAAACAGCAAAGGACTGGCCTGCGGTGCTTCTGCCAGCGAAAACGGGCTCCCAAGCTCCGTTTGCGGCTGCCATGGCCTCCTGCAACCCTCTGCCAGTAAAAACGGAGCTCAGGAAGGTCCCCCTGAGCTCTGTTTTCACTGGCAGAGGGTTGCAGGAGGCTGTGGCAGCCAAAAACGGAACTCGGGAGCCCATTTTTGCTGGCAGAGCGCTCTGGCCACCACAGGCACCCCTGACAGGAGTGACATCAAGCTGGCCATACCCACCCTGGCCCCTCCACCCCAGCCCACCAAGGTCAAACACAACCCTGATGCGGCCCTCAATGAAATTGAGTTTGACACCCCTGTTCTAGATGAAAGTTAGGTTGTAAATTAGTGAATTATGAGCTGGAAGATGAGACAGGCCAAGGCTCACATTCTAGCTGAGACCCCGAAAGACCCTCTGCCTTTGTTTCATGGCTCTGAAGCTTGTTCTGGTCATGCTGTACAGGGCGTGTGAGCAGCAAAAGCCACACATGCAAGGCAGGGCTGTCTTGGAGGGCATCAAACCCATTAAGAGCCCCTCAAAAATTAACTCCATCGATTCTGACATAACTAGCAGATCATGTTTGCTCTTCAGCCGATCGGCAAGGCTGGTTATTCACTGCGAAAGTGGAGGGGCTTCAGACCAACATTTTCCCCCAGTCTGAAGGCATCTGGTCCACCTGCTCCTTGCCTCCTACTCCCGGTTCAGTGGAAACTTTCAGAGCAGCTTCCCACCTGCCAAGTGAAATGTTTGCATCATGTGTGTAATGGGTGACTAAGCACACATTCCTGACTTAGAGATTCAGACAGTGCTCCAGCATTCTTCCCAAAGGGTTCAACAGACTGGTCGGGTGCAAATCTCAAGCAGGATGAGCGCACTTCAGCAAGTGGTACAGTTTTAAGTTTTATTTTGGGGATCAGCTGGTTGACTTAGCTATTCTTCCAGGAAACCATAGGACATAGTGGGGTGGTCACTCCTCTCTTTTCTGGGGAAGCCCAGGACTTGCGGGAGGAACCTCATCACACTTCCCTGAGTGATGGGAGCTACTCCCCAAAGCAACAAGACAGCCAGTCTGCCAGGTTGGGGAGGGTTGCAATTCAAGGGAAATAACTTGTTGAAAAACAAGTTGAAAAACTCTTATGGGAAACGGCAGCTGCGGTTGTAATTTTTAAAAGTTGGTTAAGCATCTGCCTTGCTACAGTAATGCCAATGCTGATTGCTCCAAGACAAAAAATGGCAGAAGTTTCATTCTTCTGATGGCTGTTATGAAATGCTCCTTGTAGCAAGACTTCAAGAACAGGTTCAGGTATTTAACATTCCACATCCCTGAAATGCAGCGGGAAAAGTGCAAAATCTCTGAACAACAATCAAATTCCTTTGACAAGGTTAGTAGGGAGCTGCCGGTCTCCAAACTTCCCTTCGGTCCAGTCAAATGTGGCAGGTCACTCCCCAGAGTCTCCCCAGCCTTTGAGGTAAAGCTGCTGCACCCACCTCACAGAACGAGGCAACCGTTTTAGGAGGGCTCCCAGCTGAATCTTGCGAGTTGGGGATGAGGTAGTCATTTTTTATTTGATTCCCTATTAAATTTAATACAATTAGCATTGCTTTAAACCATAATAATGAGTCCCTTTATATATAACTAAATAGAAATTTAATTTACATACTGTAGTTAGAAAAACTATGTACAGTGGATATAGAACCCCTGTTAAAATGCCAGGTTTTTGAGAAAAAAATCATACCAAGATAAATAACTTGAGAATATTTTCCACTTTTAATATAACGTGTAAACTACAATCGAAAAACAAACTGAAATCTTTTAGGATAAAAATGAAAAATTTAAACTTAAAAAAATGTGATTGCATAAAGTTGACACCAATAAATTAATACTTTATTGAAGCACCTTTTGATTTTATGACAGCATTCAGTCTTTTAGGATAGAAGCGTCTCAGCATGGCACTTCTTGCCTTGGGAATCAGCTTGCTCTTCCTCACAAAGAAGTTCACAAATCACCCCACAGCAGGGGTGAAATGTTCCTGGTTCAGACCGGATCGCAAAAAAAAAAAATGCCTTTAAAAGCCGCTGGCGATCCCAGCTGAGTTTGTCAGAGGCTTTTAAAAGCATTTTTTTCTGCAACCTCTTTGGCCAAAGAGGTTGTAGGAAAAAAAATGCCTTTAAAAGACTCTGGCGATCCCAGCTGAGTTGCCTGAGGCTTAAAAGCATTTTTTTCTGCAACCTCTTAAAGTTGTAGAAAAAATGCTTTTAAAAGTAAAAAAAAAAAGTTGGCCATGCCCACAGAACCGGTAGTAACAAATTTTACATTTCACCACTGCCCCACAGATTTTCAATTGGATTCAAGTTGGCCTCTGCTGTGCCATTCCAAAACTGATCTGATGAAGCCATTCTTTTCTTGGTTTGGGGCTTAGATCGTTTGAGATGAGTACTCCTAGGTCCTTGACAGAGTGAGGGTTGTCTATGAGGTTGTATCTGCCCAGTTTGTATTTGATGTTCTGATTTTTGTTGCCAATGTGTAAGACAGAGCATTTGTTGGTTGAGATTTGGAGTTGCCAATTATTTGACCATTCAGATACATAGTCAAGGTCGTTTTGTAGGGCAGTAGTATTGTCAGTAGTGTTGAATAATTTTATGTCATCAGCGAAGAGGATGCAGCTGCTTATAATATGATCACAAAGGTCATTTATATAAAGCAGAAAGAGTGTTTCTAAAACACTGGCTTGGGGGACACCGCTGTTAACTGGTGCAGGGTCTGATAGGGTGCTCCCTATTTTGACTACTTGTTGTCTGTTTGACAGGAATGCGGCTATCCACTTGTGTAGGGTTCCAGAAATGCTGTAAGAGCTTAGTTTTAACAGTAGTTTGTCATGTATCACTGAATCAAAGGCTTTGCAGAAGTCTATGTAAATTGCATCTATTACTTTTACCCTGGTGTGGCCTAAATGTTTCTGCAGTGTAGGAGTTGCAGATTATAGCACAAATTTTTCCTGAAACCAACCTGCTTGTTAGAGAGTAGGTTGTTTGTCTCTTAAGTGGAGGGTGATGGATTGGTTTATAAATGATTCCATGACTTTGCAGGTGACGCAACACAGTGAGATTGGTCTGTAATTTTCAACTAGGCTGGGGTCTCCTTTTTTGAAGATAGGAATGACAGTGGCTAATGACTATAGGTCAGGCAAGGAGCTGGTTCTGAAAGATACCTTATAGATTGTGCTTAGAGGTTCGGCTATGGTAGTGGAAAGCTTTTTCAAGAAGTAGGCACATAATCCATCAGGGCCAGTAGATAGAGATGGTTTTATGTTGCGTAGTGCCTTTTCAACGTTATCTTCTGTGAAATCAATATGTAGCAGATTATTGCAATTGAGGTTATAGAAGGTGCGGGTGGATTTCATGTGTAACGGCTTTTCCTTTTGTTTGCAGTGGTAATTGGTGCATTCTGCCTTTATCTGGAGGCATAAGGTTTTGTAGTGGCTTTTAAAGTTAGTTACGTAGCTAGTTTAATTTTTTCGCCAAAGAGATATTTTTTTTGATTGGAGCTTCCTTATTATTGTGGGTTTTTTTTTTTTTTTGCTTTGGGGATTACTAATGGTACATATAGTTTAATGAGCCTTGGTAGTACAGGGGTTTAAGGCACCCTGTTATTAAGCTGGTTATTAAGACCAGCTGCCTGCAATTACTGTAGGGTTCGAATCTCGCCAAGGCTTAAGGTTGACTCAGCCTTCCATCCTTTCTAAGGTAGGTAAATTGAGGACCCAGTTGTGGGGGCAATAAGCTGACTTTGTATAAATATACAAAAGGATGAAAGCTATTGCTGAGCACATTGTAAGCCGCCCTGAGTCTTCGGAGAAGGGCGGCATATAAATCAAATTAAAAAAAAAAAATGACTGTTTTGACTTTGAGCAAAAAAGTATTATAATGGTCTTCAGCAGTATTACAGCCAGTGAACAGAATGTGCCAATCAAGAGATGAGAGATCGGCAGCTATGAGGTCATGGTTGGCTTTTTTAAAGTTATAATTTGGAGTCCCATCATTATGAGCTTCTTTGCAAGGATGTAAATTGAGACAAAAGTCAATCATGCTGTGGTCACTGTTGGAAAAATGTTATTTTATTTGTAGTCCATAAATTGAGTTTAAACTGTTTGCAGAAGAAGAGGTCAAGGCAGTGACATGGTTGTTAAGAATGCTGCAACAGGCATAAATGTGAGGATAGTCATAAGTGTGAGGACCATTCAAAAGTGCGAGGACCGGTCAGAAATGACTTTTTTCAGCCCTCTGAATAGTCCCTATACACATAGCAACGGCCACCCGGTCACATGATCAGCTAGCCACGCCCACCCAAATAAGCCACACCCACAGAACCGGTTGTTAAAAAAATTGAATCCCACCACTGGTTCCATCTACCCATCTGGTTATCAAAGAGTGTCCAATTAGGTGCTAACAATTGTTTGGGTAACAATCCCTGTTTTTGTGGGGTGATTGGTTTTGCATTCCTTTGTGTGACTGTGGAACAGCCGGTGATTCTCACGGGATGGCAAAATGCATGGTTTTGATTCCTCATGCTAACCCTCCCTTTATCACACCCCACTGATCTCTCCCCTCCCCCCTCCATTGCATATGGCAGGCTGTCAGCAGGCAATACATAGCATAGAAGAATGGCAGCTCTGACAATCCTCTTCATCTTCAGCATTTTAGTAGAAAGTTTTGTGCCAAAATTGATTAGCGTGTGGAACTGTTCCTCCACCTCAACTAAAGCGCCAGTTCCAGCTGAAGAAAAGGAGCTCCAAGCATAATGCTATCACCATTGTGCTTAGCTCTGGATATGGTGTACTTTTCTTGATGCAAAGGATTGTTTTTCCATCAAAAATACTTTGTTCTGTCCCAGTTTATGCAATTAGCCAGAAGGATTTAGTATGTTTATTTCACAACTACATACTTTAAAGTAGACATGTCAAATACAAGGCCCATGTGTTAGATCTGGCCCGCGGGGCTCCCTTGGAGACAGTGAAGGACCAGCCCCTGCCACCTTGCTCCTTGGCCCAGGCCAGCTGGGCACTGATCTACAACTTTGCATTCTAAAGTTCTAAAGGCACATTCATAGGTGCACTCACAGGAGGTAGTAAGCATGCAGGGCCTGGTGTCCCGGATGAAAGGGAAGCGCTCAGAATGTGGTCAGCCTGCAGGGCAAGACGGTCACCGTGGATGCCAGACCATGTGTGCTCACCGCCTCTTGGGTGTGTGCCAACGGGGCAGGGCTGAAATGGCAGGAGTGGCCCTTGCTGTCTACAGGATGGACCCATTGGCCAGATCTAAGGCTGACTGTGTTCCGGCCTGGATGGCTGCCAAGAAGTTGTAGATCAGTGCCACATCCACCACCAGTACCTCCATGGCCTGCTCGCTGGCCCAGCCATGCAGACCTTGAGCACTTTCCTTTCACTGGGACTGCCTGCCCCCTGCATGGGAAAGCCACAGCTGCCAGTGGTATGGTCACTGACGGCGCTGCCAAACTTTCCCCCTCCCCTCATCCCTTCGTGGGCGCAGAGGGAAGGAGGAAGAAAGGGGAGGGAGGGAGGAAGTAGATGGGAATGAGAAGGAGAGAGGCAGGAAAGGAGGAAGGGAGGGAAATGGGAAGGAAGGAAAGGAAGGAAGTAGATGGGAATGAGGAGGGAGGCAGGGAAGGAGGGAGGGAGGAAGATGGGAATGAGAAGAAGTAAGGCAGGGAAGGGAGGGAGGGAAAAAGGAAGGCAGGAGGGAAGAAGGAAGGAAGGAGATGGGAATGGGAATGAAGGAAGTAGGGAAGGATAAGGGTAGGAAACAGGAAGGAAGAAAGGAAGGGAAGGAGATAGGAATGAGAGGGAGGGAAGGATGAAAGGAAGGAAA